CCTTGAGACCCTCACCCGCGTGGGAGACCTGGAAGAAGCTTCCCGGCTCCCAGCTTCCGGCTCAGGTCCAGCCATTGTGGCCACTTGGGGAGTGAACCAGCAGATGGAAGATCTTTCTGTCTCTTCTTCGCTCTGTAAATCTGACTTTCCAATAAAAATAAGTAAATCTTTTAAAAACAAATAAACAAACAAATGATGTCATGAGGATGCACTCAGTCAAATACAGAATCTGGGAAGCTTGACAAAAGAACCACTAAAATGGCACAGATAAATGAAGGTGGTAGAAGCACTACAGCCAGGGCCAGTGCTGTGGAGCAGCAGTAAAAGCCTCTGCCTGTGATGCCGACATCCCATAGGTGAGCCCCGGTTCAAGTACAGGCTGCCCCATTTCCAAGTCGGTCTCAACGTGGCTGAGAAAGTGGCAGATGACGCCTCGAGTACTTGGATCGCTGCCACTCACCTGAGAGGTCTGGACAGAGTTCCTGGTGGCAGCTCAGCCCCAGCTGTCATGGATATGTGGATAGTGAGCTAGTGGAGCACTGTGTGTATACGTGTGTGTGTGTGTGTGTTCCTCTGTTTATCACTCTGCCTTTCAAATAAAATGAATCTTAAGAAAATAATTATAGGGGCCAGCGCTGTGGCAGTTTGATTCCTGGTTGCTCCACTTCCCTTCCAGCTCCTTGTTAGTGCACATAGGAAAACAGCAGAGAAGGGCCCAAACGCTGAGCATCTGCACCCATGTGGGAGACCTGGAAGAAGTCCTGGATCCTGGCTTCCGCCTGGCTCGGTCCTAACTATTGTGGCTATTTAAAGGATCAATCAGCAGATGGAAGACAGCTCTCTCTATATAACTCTATATAACCTTTCAAAAAACAACACATTTTTAAAAGATTAATTTATTCTATTGGAAAGGTAGATTTACAGAGAGAACGAGAAACAGAGAGAAAGACCTTTCATGTGCTGGTTCACTCCCCAAGTGGCTTTAATGGCCAGAACTGAGCTGATCCGAAGCCAGGAGCCAGGAGCTTCTCCTGGGTCTCCCATATGGGTGCAGGGTCCCAAGGTTTTGGGCCATCCTCTGTTGCTTTCCTGGGCCATAAGCAGGGAGCCGGGTGGGAAGTGGAGCAGCTACAATATGAACCAGGACCCATATGAGATCCCAGTGCATGCAAGTTTAGGACTTTAACTACTAGGCTGCTACTGCAACCAGCCCTTAAGACACTTTAAAAGCATTAATTTGCCACGACCACTTGACAAAGAAACAGTAACTAAATACAACTTTGCGGATTTCCTGCTTGCTGCAAGATCCCAGGCCGTGAACCATGAAGGTCAGATGGCGAGGGCTCTTCCTGCTCCTTGTGTCTGTTCACGGTTTACAAGGTTTGTTTGTAACCTGGACCGAACACCGCTTCCAGGTCAGTTACACAAACGCCTTTCGTGAATGAACTGCAACCCCAGGCTTACCAGCTACACCTGGGGCCTGGCTGTCCTGTAAGCAGAGTGTTGCCTAGTTACTCCCATCTCGTTTCTACACTCTCTTCTTGTGGCATCTGAAAATATGACCGATTGCCTTTGGGGTATTGTTATTGAGAGTTCTGTTTCATAGGAACCAGTGTTTCTAAACATCACAGAACATGTCCCAATATCATGCACAATTGTCATGTAGCTTTCCGTCGTAAGAGGTAGGAATAATCGTAGTCAGCCTGGAAGGCATCTCTGGGGCCGGTAGAAAACAGAAGCCAACATATAAGTAGACACTTTAGGGACTCATCCCGGGCCGCCACTTGTGAACAGCTTTTCCCTTCGGGAGTTCTAATTGTGCTTCCTTCACCTTAACTGCAGAAATGAAGCAGTCAATTCTGGTGGTTAAGGAAATCTTACTAACAAGGGAACTCTCTCTGGGGATTACACTACTATTTAGGAACTGGACTAATACTTCTGGATTGTGTTCCTTTTCAATAATATTCTTCTTGGGCCTGGCACTGTAGCCTAGAGGATAAAGTCCTTACATTGCACATGCTAGGATTCCATGTGGGTGCAGGTTCATATCCCAATGGGCGCCAGTTTGTGTCCCGACTGCTCCACTTCCCATCCAGCTCCCTGTTTGTGGCCTGGGAAAGCAGTGGAAGACAGCCTAAAGTCTTGGGACCCTGCATCCATGTGGAAGACCTGGAAGAAGCTCCTGGCTCCTGGCTTTGGATCAGCTCAGCTCTGGCTGGTGCAGCCAGTTGGGGAATGGAACAGTGGATAGAAGATCTTTCTGTCTCTCCCTCTCTTTGTAAATCTGCCTTTCTAATAAATGTAAGTAAATCTTTTTAAAGTGATGATAACAATACTCAGAGTAGTTGTAAGTATTAGTGGCATTGTGGTTTTGTGGTGAAGAAATGAAGCTTCCCAGCAAATGTGAAACTCTGCCAAGACCATTTCTTTTTTTTTTTTTTTAAGATTTATTTATTTTATTGGAAAGACAGATCTACAGAGAGAAGGAGAGACAAAGAGGAAGATCTTCCATCTGCTGGTTCACTCCCCAAGTGACCGCAATGGCTATAGCTGAGCCAATCCAAAGCCAGGAATCTGGAGCTTCCTCCGGGTCTCCCACACGGGTGCAGGGTCCCAAGGCTTTGGGCCGTCCTTGACTGCTTTCCCAGGCCACAGGCAGGGAGCTGGATGGGAAGCAGGGCTGCCAGGATTAGAACCAGTGCCCATATGGTATCCTGGCGCATTCAAGGTGAGGACTTGTGCCATCACGCTATCGCACCAGGCCCAAGATCATTTCTTTTGTATATTTTATTTATTTGACAGGGGAGGGGGAGAGACAGAGAGATCTTCCATGCACTGGTACTGGTTCACTCCCCAAAAGGTCACAACAGCCTAGGTCAGGCCAGGCCAAAGGCAGGAGCCTGGAAGTCCTTCTCAGTCTTCCAGGTGGGTGGGAGGGATCCAAGTGCAGGTGTGTTAGCAGGAACTGTAGTGGAAACAGAACAGCTAGGACTTGAACCTTTGCTCAAAGGGGATGCCAGCTTCCCATGCTCGCCACAATGCTGCCCCCTCCCGGTCATGTTAAGAAATGCTTTCTTGACCCAGGCTGAAAGCACCGCACTGAAGAAAAGCCGCTAATGCCGAGCTACTGGGGCCCCGCTCTGGTTTTCTGGAACTCCCACTTCATCATAGGCCAGAAGTCAGACAAGGAGAAGAGGGGTGAGTGGGTGGGTCCCCACCAGCCTTCTGCAGCAGTGGATGTTCTGGGTCCTGTGCAGTTCCAGGTCCCCTATGGTTAGGCCAGGGTAGGATTGCTCTCCTCTGTCCCCTAGTGGTTGGAGGGCCAGGTGCCTAACTGGTAAATGAATGGTGGAGGGATCCCACAGGTGTCACTTTGGGCAGGCGCTCTGAATCTTCTGTAAAATCCTCCTCCCCGCTCCAGCCCTCTATCTTCTTTCCGTCTGGGCAGTGACGGACGGCATTGGAGACGGCGCTGCTCTATCGACCTAGGCCCTTAATGTTTTCTTGTTGACGGTGCACAGGTGATGTTTGTTTTAAGCCCTGCAATTTATAGAGTTGTTCACCCTGAATAATCAAGTTGATCCTGAATAATACCACGCTATGCAATAGTCAACCCTACAAACTGTGAAAAACCAGAATAATCATTATTGTTGGCTTTATATTTTTGTTGTTGTTGTTAAGATTTATTTATTTTGGGGCCTGGTGCGGTAGTCTCGCAGCTACAGTCCTTGCCTTGCATGCACTGGGATCCCATAGGAGCACCAGTTCAAGACCCGGCAGCTCCACTTCCCTTTCAGCTAGCTGCTTGTGGCCTGGAAAGCAACAGAGGATGGCCCACGTACTTGAGCCCTTACATTCGTATAGGAGACACGGAAGAAGCTCCTGGCTTCGGATTGGCTCAACCCTGACCAATGAAGCTATCTAAGGAGTGAATCAGCAGAGGGAAGAGCTTGTGTGTGTGTGTCCCTCCCTCTTGTTCTGTAACTCTTGCAAATAAATACGTCCCTCAAAATATCATAGCCCAGGGCCCAGCACAGCTAAAGTCCTCGCCTTGAATGCACCAGGATCCCATATGAGCGCCGCTTCTAATCCTGAAAGCTCCACTTCCCATCCAGCTCCCTGCTTGTGGCCTGGGAAAGCAGTGGAGGACGGCCCAAAGTCTTGGGACCCTGCACTTGTGTGGGAGACCCAGAAGAAGCTCCTGGCTCCTGGCTTTGGATCAACGTAGCACTGGTCATTGTGTTTACCTGGGGAGTGAATCATCGGGTGGAAGATCTTCCTCTCTGTCTCTCCTCCTCTCTGTATAGCTGACTTTGCAATTATATATATAATTGCTTATATAATAATAATAATAACGTCCAATAATCGCTTCTGGAGACCGAAAGTGCACAAACACATTTGAAATCTGTACAGGCTTAGCTTACTAACATTGCAGTCTAGCGGGTAGTGGTTGCGTCTGCTTGTGTGTGTGTGTGTGTGTGTGTGTGTGTGTGTGTGTGTGTGAAAGAGAGAGAGAGAGAGAGAGAGAGAGACTGGAACCGGAGTGAATTTAGGTGAGTGTGCGGCGCCCTCTCGTGGCGCCTGGCACAACCACAGCTCTGGTCTCATACTCTACTGGCTTAAGGGGTGCCCTGGGGCGAGGGGACCCTCTCTTGCGCAGACCCACTGCATGGGAACACCTCTGCTTTCTCAGGTAAATGGTCCAGGATCAAGGCCCTCATATCCCCAACGGGCCCAGCGCTTCGCAGCGCATGCAGCACCGTCCGATACAAGGAGGTCCACAAGTTAACTTTATTGATGTACAGGGGGGTCAGCTGAGGCCCAAGTGCGCCCCTCTCTCCTGAGAGCCCAATGAGGCTCACGAACCGCTCAGCACATCTGCAGTGCGCGGCCCCAAGGAATACACCCCTACCTCCACCGCCCAGGGTGCCACGTCCTCCCTCCTCCAGGCCCGGCCAGCCGGGGTCTGTGGCCCGCAGCCTCGGCAGGTGTGCAGGGGTGTGAGCAGACCCCGAGGCGACCCCCGAGCCCGAGGCTGGAGTCGCGTCGCTACTTCTCAGCGTAGCAGTAGGTCCCGTAGGCCGCCTGCTGCGGTCTGGGGAAGCCGAAGCTGCGCACCCCGGGATCGGGGAGGCCCCCGCAGCGGGGCCGCGGCGCGGTGATGGGAAAGCGCACGCTGCCGTCTGCCAGCCAGCCGCCGTCGCACTGGTCCAACCCCGAGAACTTCCAGGCGGCGTAGAGGTGGCCGACCTTGGCTACCGCAGCCCCGCGCCGCCGGCACGCCGCGTGCGCTTCAGACAGTGTCAGCCGCCCGGGCACGAAGAACACCTGGCCTGGGGGAGTGGAGCGCATCACCGCACGGCCCCGGCTGGGGTCCTGCCTGGCGGGGCGCGGAGAGCTGGGTGGGCAGTGCCGAGCGGGGCACGACGATGTCTTTGATTTTCCCTCCGGGAGACAGTTCTCCTCCGGCTCCCACAGACCCTCCCCGAGCCCGGCCTCCTCCGCCCTCACCAGCCAGCGCCGAGGTGAAGCAGAAGGCGTCGTAATGGTCGCGCTTACGGTCGCGGGGCCCGTAGCTGCGGATGCCCGGCCTGCCTCGGCCGCCGCACGGGGCGCGCGCCGTGAGCACCGGATAGCGCACCGAGCCCTCGAGCAGCCAGCCCGCGTTGCACCAGTCCAGACCCTCTGTCCAGGCTAGCGGGACGCAGCAGGGATCAGAGTTGAGGGGAACGGGGAGAGGGATACAAGTGTCACAGCAGGGGCCAGGCCCTTTCCCCTGCCGGTGCCCCCCGATGGGGGTCCCTGGCACAACCCTGGCCCGCTCACCCTGGTACAGCTGGGCGTAGGTGGCCAGACGTCCGTCCTGCTCCTCGCACGCCTGCTTTGCCTCGTAGTAATTGAACTGGTACCGGCCCCGGCTGGGTTGGTACGGGAACACAACACCTGGAGAATTGAAAATGGGTCGGCGGTGAGAGCTGGGGAGGGCCAGCAGACCAAGGTGCGGTGGGGCGTCGAGGGGATGCAGAGCAGAGAGACGCCGGGAAGGAGCTACAGGGTCCTGAGGCGGGGCAGCCCCAGAGCTGGCCAGCTGCGAGCGAGCGGACTCACCCTCCAGACGCAAGGTCAGCGCCACGCTCTCGTCCTCAATGCCGTTGATGAGCTCGCAGCGGTAGCGGCCCTCGTCCTCCAGGCGCACGTCCGCGATGACCAGGGAGGCGTCCAGCCGGTGCCCCCTCCGCATGCGGGCGCGGTCGCCCAGGGGCCCGTAGCCGCGTGCGTGCAGCCCGTTGGTAATGAGGATCACCGTCTCGCGGAGCTCGCCCGGCTCCACTTTGCTCCAGCGCACCTTGTAGCTGGGAGGCGAGGCGCCCAGGACGCAGGGCAGCGTGGCCGTGGCCCCACGGCGAGAGTGAATGACCTCGTGGATGGGGGACAGGAGGTAGTGGGGGCCCGGGTGGGGTGCTGAGCAGAGGGGGCCACAGTGGCGGCAACCCCCTGACCCTCGCTGCCCCGTGTGCCCATCCAGACTCCACTCCACACACCCGCACATCCTGCTTTGCCGGCCTCCCCCACTCCATGCCGCCCTGTGTGGTCCTCTCACAGGACTCCACCCCGCAGGGGGGACCTGCAACTGCTACCCTTCCCACCTTTCCCCAGGCAGAACCCAGGTCCGAGGGCTGGGCTGGGGTCTTACCTGGATCTCCCAGTGCTTTGTGGATTATGGTGGCGAAGATCCAAGGGAGAAGGAAGCCGCAGAGGGCAAGGGGGGTGAGTTGGCCGGGCATGGCAGGGAGTCGCCTGGCAGCGCCTGCAGGCCACAAGGGTGGGCTCCCAAAGGACTTCAGGAAAGGATGGTGGATCCTGGAGGGGCCTGTCCAGCTGAAACCTAGGGGGGCTGGAAACAGTAGCAAAAGGAAGATAACCAGGTTGGAGTGTGAGGAGAAGACAACAACAACTCTCTCTCTCTCTCTGTTTTTCTCTCTCATCCAAAGTCAGCAGGTCCTGTCTTCTCATTTTGTCCTGCTGTTCCCTCTTGTCACAAGCCCTGCTTCCTGAGCTGGCCATCAGGAGGGCCGCCTGAATGGATCTTCTTCCCTTCCTCCATCCCCAAGTGGGTCATTCAGGTGCTGGGCCCAGGGGTCCCTACATCTGGTCTCCTGACCCCACCCTAGGGCGCTCCACGCTCCTTGTCCTCTGCCCCATGTCTGGGGCAACCTGAGCAGCAGCTCCCGTCCAGGGTCACCTCCTTCTCACAGGCGGCAGTCTGAGGGAGACATTCCTTCTCCAGGGAACATTCCTCAACCCCTAGATTGCCACACTGTTGTGCAACGTGCTCCATCGCAACTGGCCAGGGGTTTTGCTCAGAAAGTGCTTTTAGGGGCTGCCTGCAGAGCTGGCATCCCATATAGCCATTGGTTGTGTCCCAGCTGCTGCACTTCCCATCCAGCTCCCTGCTTGTGGCCTGGGAAAGCAGTCAAGGACAGCCCAAAGCCTTGGGACCCTGCACCACATAGGAGACCTAGAAGAGCTCCTGGCTCCTGGCTTCGGATTGGCACAGCACCGGTCGTTGTGGCCGCTTGGGGAGTGAATCATCGGATGGAAGATCTTCCTCTCTGTCTCTCCTCCTCTCTGTATATCCGCTTTTCCAAACAACAGTCAGAGCTGGGGCAGGCTGAAGCCAGGCCCCTCCCACGGGGGTGGCATGCACTTGGACCCTTTCCCACTGTCTCCCAGGAAGGGCGTTAGCAGGACTCTGGATCAGAAGCAGAGCAGATGGTACTGGAAATGGGTATTGGGATATAAGATGCAAGTGCTGTAAGCAGCTGTTTAACCCACAGCACCGTAAAGCCCACATTTTTTTCATTTTTAGCCTGACAATTCGGTGACTTTGAAGAAGTTAACCTCTCTGTGCTTCTGTATCCTTGTCAATGACAAACGAAGGGCAGTAGCATACTTCCCTCATGGAGACGTGAGGGTTTCAGGAATCCATACATGCAAAAGTCTCCAAGTGATGCCTGTGATTTGTTTTTAAGATTTATTTATTTTTATTGGAAAGTCAGATATACAGAGAGATGGAAAGACAGAAAGAAAAATCTTCCACTTACTGGTTTACTCCCCAAGTGGTCACAACGGCTGGTGCTTAGCTGATCTTAAGCCTGCAGTATCTTCTAGATCTCCAACATGGGTGCAGGGTCCCAAGGCTTTGGGCCATCCTTGACTGCTTTCCCAGGCCACAAGCAAGGAGCAGAAAGGGAAATGGAGCAGCCGGGTCATGAACTGGATCCATATGGGATCCCGGTGCATGCAAGGTGAAGACTTCAGCCACTAGGCTACTGCGCTGGATCCGATGTTTGTAATTTAAATGATGTCACAGTTTCTGGTTTCCAGCACATGGTGGGAGCAACCAAGCGTTTGTGCATTGGAATGAGTGAACTGCCCTCAAGGATCCTGGGGAAGAGGAGATGGTGCCAGACAGGCAGGAGACCACAGCGCGGGGAGAAGCAGAAGTCTTCACTCATCTCCCTCTGCCTGCAAGTGAACTTTGGAAGAACTCCCCAGCGGTTAAAAGCCCAAGGATCACATCTGGGGACAGGAGCTGGCAGTCAGCTTCTCCCTCACAGGAGAACCTGACGAAGAAGGACGACTAAGGGCACACACAGAGATTGGGTCAGGGCCCAACTGTAAAGCCAGCTTGCAGGAGATGTTCAAAATCTAATGGTCTACTCTCCGTGGCTAAAATCGTCACCTTGCAAACGCCAGGATCCCATATGGGTGCCAGTTTGTGTCCCAGCTGCTCTGCTTCCCATCCAGCTCCCTGCCTGTGGCCCGGGAAAGCAGTAGAGGACAGCCCAAAGCCTTGGGACCCTGCAACCATGTGGGAGACCTGGAAGAAGCTCCTGGCTTCTGATTGGCTCAGCTCCTGCAACTGTAGCCACTTGGGGAGTGAACCAACAGATGGAGGATCTTTCTCTCTGTATCTCCCTCTCTTTGTATATCTGCCTTTCCCACAAAACATAAAATAAATCTTTTTTTAAAAAGTTTCATGGCCTGACCCAATTGCATGCCCCGTTCTTCATTCACATTTTTACGGGTGCTTCTGTGAGGAAGGGCCATTGAAGGCCCCATTTTGCGTGAGCAGAAATGATGTGTGCACAGCTGGGAAAAGGACGTGGTCAACTGGGATTGGAATCCAGAACTGAGAGTGGAGTGCAGCTCTTAATCTTCAATCTACACAAAGGGCCCTTATAAGAAACTAGGCTTAGGGCCCAGTGCCATGACCTAGCAGCTAAAGTCCTCGCCTTAAATGTGCCGAGATCCCATATGGGCACCAGTTCTAACCCCGGAAGCTCTACTTCCCATCCAGCTCCCTGCTTGTGGCCTGGGAAAGCAATTTGAGAACGGCCCAAAGCCTTGGGATCCTGAACCCGTGTGGGAGACCTGAAAGAAATTCCTGGATCCTGGCTTCGGATCAGCACAGCACCGGCCGTTGCGCTCACTTGGCGAGTGAATCATGGGACGGAAGATGTTTCTCTCTGTCTCTCCTCCTCTCTGTATATTTGACTTTCCAATAAAAATAAAATATATCTTTTTTTTAAAGATTTATTTTTATTATTTTTTTATTGGAAAGGCAGATATACAGAGAGGAGAGACAGAGAGGAAGATCTTCCATCCGATGATTCACTCCCCAAGTGAGCGCAATGGGCCGATGCGATCCGAAGCCAGGAGACTCTTCCGGGTCTCCCACGCGGGTGCAGGGTCCCAAAGCTTTGGGCCGTCCTCGACTGCTTTCCCAGGCCACAGGCAGAGAGCTGGAAGGGAAGCGGGGCTGCTGGGATTAGAACCGGCGCCCATATGGGATCCCGGGCGTGCAAGGTGAGGACCTTAACCACTTGCGCCACCGCGCCGGGCCCCAAAAATAAAGTATATCTTAAAAAAAATAAGAAACTAGGCTTAGAAGATGCTTTGTGTAGAAAAAAAATTAATTTTATGCATTCCTCTCCTCTATAATACAAGTTTCCATGAATTTTTAAAGGCGCCTCACTGTCTTGCATTACAAAACAGGTGCACACTTATCTACTCAGATCCCCTTACAGAACATGCCTGGTGGCCTACCTGGGAGAAGGTGGTCTCAGCAAGACGAAGGAAGTGTGGCTCGGCAGCTGTCTGTCCTGCTAGCCCAGCAGCTCCCGGTGAATCTAGCACCCTGGCTCTGCAGTGGTCCGAGCACCTTCAAGGCCGGGCCCCCAAGCACCTGCTCCGGGTTACTTCTTTTGCACCTTGGAGGAAAGACCTCATCCCAGCGTTCAAGCAGAGTCTGCCAAGGGTGCCCCAAGCCATCTTCCATCACCCCTCTTACTCCTCTAGGCCAGGCCAAGTGACCAATGTCCAGCCCTAGGGGTTCCCTGCCCTGGAGCTGAAGGGAGGAGGCTGGGCTTGGGATGAAGGGCTAGGGCTCTGAAGGGAGGTGCAGGAGGGCTCTGAAGTGGACGGCGAGGACCCAGCGTGCATGTGGTAGAGTCTCGCTACTTCTGGATGTTCCTGTACCCAGTGGGGAGGGATGAAGACATGGGGTAGAGAGAGATGGGAATGGCCCCTAGGTCTGCAGCTGACCCACTGCAGCTACCCCTCCACCTGCACACAGACTCATCTATGCAACAGCGCCACCCTCTCGCCCTCCCTGCAGGGGCCTTACCTCTGCCTGAAGGTGCCTGGGCGCACATGGCCTATAGGGTGGACTCCTTAAGGTGGAGACCAGACTTCCAGCTGCTGCAAGAGACCCGACCCTTCTGCCCAGAGCCCCCGGTCTGTCTGTCTCTCCTCTCCTTCTCCCTCCCCGCCCCTGCAGAAGCACAATTTCCCATTGTCTCTCTCTTTCCCCCTATTGTTGGATAACAGGGCTCCTTTCTTTATCCTGTGGGTAATGGTAGCCAAATGTCAACAGCTGGGGATGTGGGATGCAGGACCGGCTGGCACATAGCACCGGAAACAGAGGCCTGGGGAGAGAGGTGGGCTCAGGGTGGGCGTCAACATCCCCAAGGAGAAAGGAATTGGGCCGAGGGGTGGAGCATGGATGGTGGGAAGGCTGGAGTAGGGTTCCTGTCAGTTCTCCATCCCTGGTCTTCACAGAGATTCTGCCCGAAGCCAGAGAGGTGGCTGGGCTCCATGGAGGGCAGAGAGGGGCTGGTACTGCAAGAGGACAGATGGAAATTAGGTGGTGAGGAGGATTTTTTCTGTTCCCATGCAGGGACAGGAGAACTTGAAGGATGAAGGATTCTTACAAAACTCCAGGAGAGAGCTTCAATGCCCCTGTACCCACAATGCCCATGCTATTGTTGAAGCTATAGCACGTGGCCAACAAGCCAGAGCAAGCCCATTTTCCCCACTTGCTGTCAAGGTGGTGAGGCGGGGACCACCCACAACCCCTGTCCACCCCTGTAATCCCGGCAGCCCCACTTCCCATCCAGCTCCCTGCCTGTGGCCTGGGAAAGCAGTCGAGGACAGCCCAAGGCTTTGGGACCCTGCACCCGCGTGGGAGACTCGGAAAAGGCTCCTGGTTTCGGATCGGCACAGCATCAGCTGTTGCGCTCACTTGGGGAGTGAATCATTGGACAGAAGATCTTCTTCTCTGTCTCTCTTCTCTGTATATCTGCCTTTCAAAATAAATAAATAAATAAATAAACATACCCAAACCATAGCTTTAAAAAAAAAAAAGAAAGGAAGGAAGAAAGGAAGAAAGAAAGAAAGAAGTAGAGGACAGCCCAAAGCCTTGGGACCCTGCATCTGT